GAAACAAAGAGTTTCCTACGGCAGTTAATTGTTTCGGGTGATGGTGTGAGTCTTTCGATTTCACAGTCAGAGTAACATAGTTTAACTAAGTATAAGTTACCTGGCCTGCCCCTGTAGCACCACCATAAAGCGATATATCAACAATAACTGTCAGACTTCTGTCAAACTCCATGGTAGTTTGACAGTTAATGCCGATATATTGCTTTATCATATCCCGTTTCGGTGGTCATGCTGAGGGGCTGCATTATCTTCCATGTCTCTTCACATAACCAAACATGCATTGAGTACTGTTTTTAATTGAGGAGTTCCATTATGTTCTCCGAAAGTACTGATTAGATCTTCACCAAATTAATATGGGACCACCCAAAAAAATTTATTCAAACATGAAAACCTTTAAAATCCATTCTGGCGTTTCGAAGATACACGCGAACAACAAAATGACGAATTGAGAACCTCCTCCTTTTTGAATTCGATTAAGGTCGATAGTATGTACCATACAGTGCGTACAAATATATACGTACATACGTACCGTATAGAACGTGTGTACGTGTATATTTGAAACATCCCGCCTTTGCAGTAAATCTGAGACTACAAAACTTACAAAAGCTTATAGTTTTCATACGAAACATAAGTACTGAAAGCTCGTTTCCATAAACTAACCCAGAAACCTAAACTTTATTTTCCTATTAAACTAATTATTGTATAAGTAACGGACAGACCATTGCATAAGCGCATAGCTGAATTAAATCATCTTCATGTCAGTATTTCGTATATAAGGTTGAAAATATTAAGTAATACTCAGTAAATTTAGTATTTTAAATGTATAATGATTAAGCCATTAACTACAAACCAGTTAAATGTTTAAAATTGTTGGAAGTTTTTATTGGTGAATAACTACAGTTCGTGGAAATGATTGTGATCATGCAAGCTGAAACCAAATTGAAAATTTGTTATTCGAACTGAATGGTTTAAATAGGCTGTATGACAGTATAAAAAAAGTCATTTGTATTTAACATGAATATTTAGAGCGATTTCATTATTCTTACAAAAAAAGGTAGTTCATAATATTACTAAAAATCATGAACTATTTGTAACGTGACCTAAAACGCCTAGGATTGGCGGAGCCGAAAATGACGTCATCTGCCTGTAAACACGCCACATTTGCTTGCTTGAAACGTTTCCGCGGCATATTTGTAAACAGAATTTTTAATTTTCGATTTTTTACTGATATAATGATGGATCAGAATTATACATATCCACTTTTTATGTATTCACTATACACTAATAAATAACGTATGATATTTCAAAAACTTGTCAAATAGCCTATTACAAGCAAACCGAATTGTTCAACTTCAGAAAGAATAGGTAAAGTAGTGAAAAGATATTAAGTTTCTTTATCTTACAAACCCGTGCAAATTGTTCTAACTTACCTGATGTTATGTGTGAGGCATCTTGTTAACGATCGACGATCATTGTTCCAACAGACACCGAGACAGTCGGAGCGGTGTCTTTTCTAGCACCGCATCGATAAGAAGATTCGGTGTACAGTAAAATGTTAACAAGAGGTCTGAGTCGACTCCAGCTGTGAAGAAATGAAAAAATGTTGCTAAAAGATGTTGCCGAATAACATGGTGCTGTAGCCATCACGCTGCTGACATAAAACCGATTTCTCTATCCTAAAGCTAGATAAATCTATCATATTATTATCTATCTTCGCGACTGGACTTCACTTAAAGTTAACATCAGCGGCAAATTGTTGCTTGTACTTATTACAAAAATTAAATCATATCGAGTATAACTAAGGAAATTTTGCCCAATTGGACTGATTGATTTCTTTATCGTCATAGTATTCAAATCTGTAAATGCCTGTAAATGCTGAAATAGGGATAGTGTTTTTGTGTTAAAATTATGGCACCTCATTTTAGTTGTAATATAAAGCCACTGCATATAACATAATCTTACAAAATGTATGTGGTATACTAACATATGGATCTGTGTTGTCTGCCAATAAATGAAATTATTATTATTATAAAATACCTCGGCAGGCCATAAAAGACCATAATATTATATTTGAAAATGCATTTTTTTTTTTCAAAAAGATGTTGTTCTTAATTATTGGTTCCACTTTGCATAAATACATCCAATTAACGTAATTATATTGGTTAAATCTACAACTTGCGAGCATTGTAACACGGTTATGCTAACCAACTTTGATTATTTTAAGCAATAAAATTACTATTTATAGGTAAATAGTAAACGATATTTACGTATATCAAATAAATTTGGAATGTGAGTAATAAGTTACTTTTATTACATTCCTATTTGAACACTTTGAATATTTATAGGCCAAGAATTGGGACATTTAAAACCTATTGTATAATAGTATAAACATATATATAAAAATCTGTTGCTTTTCGTTTGTCTCGCTTAAACTCGAGAACTGGGCCGATTTTGGTTTTGAAATATTTGTCGTAGTTCAGAGAAGGTTTAAACGAAGAGGAAATATGGAAAATTTGCGAGAAAGATGGTAAAAACAACAATTTCATTTTCCCATATGAACTGTTCTACCACTTTCCTGACAAAAAGTTAACATTTCAGCCATTTTAACGAAGGGAGAGTTTTAATTTCGTTAAAAGTACACCGAGTCATCTAGTTATAAATATTTATTATTTCTTTTAATCATATTAAATACACAATTTATTATATATACCTTATGGTATGGTTACTTCAATAAATCTTTTACTATTTTAAGTACTCCGCAATGTATCATACAATACTGTTAGATTATATCAGAACATACGGGAAACATATTTATGAAGTGAAAACTTCTTTAGCACCGTTGTGATTTGAAACTCGATGAAACGAAAATTTAAAAGTATTTGACACATGGTATCCCTAATTTGGTAACTCTGCAAGAGAAAGCCCCTTTTGTTTTTTTTAATTGAGCTATTTTTTTCTTTTATTAAGTTATTTTTTATTTTAGAAACAATTTAAATAGGTGTAGAATATTTAAATTTGCCCAGTATTTTACAGTATCTAGAAGGAGTTTTACGTATTCACTGTTTTTGTAGATTTCACTTCCATCGAATGTGAACAGCACATGTCCGTTTTTTTAGCAATACAGTAAGTACTGTAGCTTTAGAAATACTTTCCGATAGATAGCGGAGTCTCAATTAAAATTTATCTTCTGCAGGAGAGGTAGGGTATAGCGGCATTTCAGTTCGATTAAGAGCGTAAAATAATCTCTTAATATTTTTAGTCGGGGAAGTAACCTCCACCTTCCAGAAGAACACAGTTGTTGTGTTCCTGTCGGTGAATAAGGTTCTAGGGCTTCATGGGGTAGGCGATTTGGTCAGGGTAGGCAAAGTCGCAAGTGATATTTTTGGTACCGCAAGTGCCTATAGGCTGTGGTAGCCGCTCAGCGTTGCCATTGATACGGTAATTGCCGTAATATACGGCGATTTGAGCTCATAATTTCAGATTATACGGCATACGGCAGGTTTGTCATTACCGTATAATAATGTACGGCAATTCAATCCGATTTTTTTTAACCGATTTACAAGGATAATGTTTTGAGTTAATTACGATTCCAACAAAACATCGTATAAAATTGTAGTTTAGGCACATCCCTAGCACGGAGAATGTATCCTTACTGGGAATCCACGTGCAGTATAACTAAATTAGTTTCTGAAACTGTAAATGTAACTCTTTTGGCGAAGCAATCCATCAGAAATCAATTAAACTATACAACATTTTAGCCTGTGACATGTGGCTGAAAATTAAAAACAAGGGCAAATATAGTTTAAATAAACACGACAGGGAAATAGTTGTCTATTAAAAAATTGTATGACGGTGATATTAATGAGTAGGTTAATTTTTTATTTGTTACTTTTATAATATAGTTACTATTAATAAGTTACTAACTACCTATAAATTTTAATAAATAAAAGTAATTAATACGGCAATATCATGATTTTTATTTAAAAATACGGCAATCTGATGTATCGAATACGGCAACTCTATCAAACTTGATGGCAACACTGCATCAGTCGGGCCATACGCATATTTGCCACCCTTTTAATAACACAAATAAAAGTCAAGAAGTTGAAAAATTAAGCGTAAAAAGATACAGAAAAATATTGCTAAAACACCACCTGTACCCTGTACCCTATAATCTTTAACTAGTCTGTGACATTTAATATATTCCGCTTTTTATACAGAAACCTTCTTCGAATCCGCCAAATAAAAAAAACTAAATATGTACATATTCAGTGATAAACTGTACATGGTTAACATAAGGCTTTGTTTACAACCAGGTGTCATGTACATGGGCAGGCCTAACATCGATCTTCACACCATTCAATATTTAATACTTTACACAACATGACGTTCATTTTTTTTTATATAACTAATTCATTCATTCATTTCCTATTACGTTTATACGTCGACATAGACCATCAATTCACAAGAAATATTATTATACTCGTATAATATAACAAGCCATAATGGGATGTGTTTGTTTTAGGGTTCCGTCCGCAAACGGTGACAAACGGAACTAAATAAATATGCCTCCGTTATCTATATATATGTCACAGTGCTATATAACTTAAATAACAATAATAATAAAAGGGGTCTCCATACGTGAAAGATAATATTTTCGACTTGTTATGGAACCCTTCATTTGCGAGTCGGACTTGCGTTTAGCCAGTTTTTGCGTTTTAATGCAATAAATAACTTAAGTTATGTTTCTAACTTTACAAGCGATTATGGTGGTTGAAGAGCAGAAATCTAGACTTCTAAGGTACTACGACCTTATTCGAGCTAGCATAACTACTGATCGATGAGCAATGGAAAAATAATTTTATGTAAAAGCGTTTCTTCTTAAATCTGCTTATATTTACATAATCACATCTCTTCTTCTTGAGCAAAATGTGCTTAAAATGAAATATGAAAGTTCTTCCTTCATAATAAACGGTTTTAAAATTTCATTTTTTTTCTAGGTGGTTCTAGTCCGTGGTCACTACGTATCATACCTGCCGCTGTGCAGTCGCAACGAGCCAGTATTCCTGGCGGTGTGCACGCCGCTTGCGATGCCCGAGACGCGCGAGTGCGTCGTGCACGGAGCCACTAATGTGTTCACCACCGTGCACGCCGTCGACATGAAGATACTGCACATCGACGCCAAGTAAGTCAACACACATGCCTCAGCTCAAGCCCACGAAGCCAGTGATCGTGGCGGTGTGCACGCCGCTTGCGACGTTCTAGATGTCGTGCATGGCATCACCCATGTATTCACTACCGCGCACGACGTCGAAATAAGAATATTGCACATTACTGCTAAGTAGACACTCATGCCTTGTTTTCTTGTTGTGCAAGCATGCATTAAAAACAACAACAAGATTTAAATATTAATCACAGTGAATTTCGGGCTTAATTTAGAACGTTAATCTGACGAAACATTTATATAAGAACGATCTTCCCATTATTAAAATGTGTAGATTAGATTTTAGTATTTGCAATCCCATAAAACTTAACAAAATTCAAATTATTTCCCTATTCTAAAAAAGGATACAACACCCCATCACGCGAATGTGTTGTCAGAAAAATAAGAGCAGAGTGCGCATAATCGATGCGTTATATTTTCAAGGTTCGTGTTAACAATAAACAATGGTTATTGATGCGTAACCGCGCCGGTGACGGAGCAGTCAGTCAATGGCTACAGATATTGTATGACAACGTCTCTATTGAGCTGCTTCATATTCATGAGAGGGCGACGGTATAATAAGACGAACATTAAAACAATGCGCACACGCTGAACGAGCTGCGAAGATGACACTTGAAGAGATACCATACGACAACGTTGTATTGGTGCATCAAAATGGATGTTTCTAGATTTTCAACCAGTTTGGAGAGGAGAACAATTTATATAGGTAGGTAATAGAAAAATATTGAAATCAAAGTGAACTGATTGATTACGAAGTGGTCGATCACCATAAGTGCAAATCTTGCAATGAAATATTTCACAGTGATGTTTCAAACAGGACTCGTGCTACGTTCATTCAGAAACTTCAATTCAGTTTGTGATTAAAGTTAATGCTGTGATGTTCCTTTCTTTGAATTAAAAATCAAACAAAATTTGACCTTAAACAACATTAAATTTATCTGACATCCCTGAAAACGCACATTAGTTCAAGACACAATGAATTTATGTCGCCAGTTTATCACTTACAGTTAAATCGTATGTCAGCTCAACTGTAAGTGATAAACCATTTGAAAGTTATTTGCAAGGAAACTAATAATATTTGTTGTAATAATTTAATACAAATACTTTCAATTTTAGTATTTGGAACCTATAACGGTTAGTTTCAGCAGCATTTGTGTGATACTTTGCTTCTTTCTATCTGATTCTCCATAGGTAAGGCAATTGACTGATCAATGGAGAAATGACAACCAAAAGTTTTTGCAAAACTTTGTGGGGCTGCAAAATTGTACTCGCGCCTTTATATCTTTACACACGGCAACATTTTCTGTCTCCTTCACACTTTGCTACTGATCCTCATCTGATCGGAAGCCAAAACTTAGCATACAATGACAGACATACAAGCTACTGCTGATGTAGTGTTGTAGAACAGCTGTTTGTAGACATTTTAATACAACGTTCTTGATCAACAACTAGTCGAAAAGCATTCTGTCCTCGTCGTACATACGTTGATATATTTATATTTTCTATCGAAAAATTGGCTTCGGCATCCTCTTAATTGAACGCGAATGCAAGAATCATACGAATCTTAGTATGTAGCACTACTCACGGTGAAACGTTGTGAATGTAGAAGTGTTATAATTACAATATCAATTAATTGAAAAAATATCACCTATGAAATTGCGCATTAAAACAGTGCCTTAAAAATCTTGTGAAACCTTTAATCGACATATAAAGCACATAAAGTATTAACTCAGCATAAATTTTGCTTATACACTTGTGTCTCTTTGAATTTTAATTTGAAGCGTAAATGCTGTATTAAACATACCAGTTAATTCAATTTCAATGGAAATATTAATTTTGGAAACCTTTTTTATACGGTCAATACCAAGTACCTGGAATAATTCATAATAAAAATCACTATTGTCGTCTTGAACCATTCACCGATTCAGAGTTGACCTCGCTAAATTCCCCAGATTGGCACTTTAGAAACAGCAATTTGAATAATTGTACCCTGTGTTTGTAGAATAAAGAAAGCTTTTGAAATACTGAGTGTGTACTCCTCTAAACTATTATTATTTTTGAATACCAACTTAGACACGATATTCTAAATCACGTTGAGGTGTTTTAAATTTAGTAATGGATTTCACGATAATTTGCACTACTAGCATGACCACTGAGCCAGATATCCCTCCATTATAATGACATGTGATCTTATATTCTAGTTAAAATTAATTGTTTTTTTTTACGTTGCAATTGTATTTGGTGTAAAGATAATTTAAACAAACAGAAAAAATACTGAATGGAAATGTTACCTTTGGACAGCCAGTAAGTATGGCAAAACCCCAAGTCCATGTATGGACCGCTCGTCTCAGTGCTAACATTGTGCCCATTACTGCTAAAAACTATATTGATTTACGCACAATTTGTAGGTCTCAACTACCGCATGTGGTGAAATACGGCTTTGTGGTTGTATGTCAGCATGATGTGACATTCTGTATTTTTTTATTAGATAAATTATAGATATCAGAGGTACAAGCATAAACAAGCTTTTTTATGTGAAAAGGCAAAGAAGTATAATTGCACTCTTTACAGTAAACAGCTAATAATATGTAGCATGAAGACCCTTGCGATATTAAAATGTATTTTATTTTTTACTTATTATGAAGTAAGGTTACATTATCAGGTACACCAATTCACACAGGTATTCATCTATCCGTGTGCTGTACTATTTTTTAAGCACATCTGATTACATATAATTAATATAATTGGACGACCCCCGTGGCCGAGTGGTTTGTAAGCCGGGTTTCAATGTTTGTGTAATAAATACGAGCATTTGCACTCCAGTCACTCCAGTATGTATTTCTATATAAATATACTTATATATGTATCAGTATATGTATTCTATCCGTTACCTTAGTAACTAATAACACAAGCCTACAGTGCTTACTTGGGGCTAGGCTAATTGGTAAGTGTTTGAAATATATATTTATTTCTTAATTATGTAAAGTAACATAAAAATAAAATTAAAAGAAGGAAAATCCAAGAGTAGTCTTATTTTAAATTATTGATCAAATGAAATAGTGCTAAATGGCAACAAAATATTGTTGATGTCTCTACGAAGAAAAAATAATATATAAATCGAAACATAAAACAATTTTGACAGATCTACTTACGCTATCTATTATATTGAATCATCAATCGGATAACAAAATATGCTGAACTCATTCTGGCAACATTCACCTTGACCTTAAGGAAACAGCCGAATACATTCTTAGAAATAATTTCTCAATAAAGAGATATGCCTTGTTACTAAACTGGTAACCGGGGCAACAAAGGTCGTACGATTGGCTCCGAATATAACTTAGATGCATAAAGTCAACTTATGCACAGAACTGGGTCTATCTGCTGCTGAAACGAATTCAATAAAGTTAGATAGCATATGTCAAGGATCAAATGTTAAAGGTCGAAGTTCCATTTGAATTTACTATATTTAGTAGTAGAGGTAATCTTAATAGCAAGTTTAGGTAGAAATAGGTCAAGAAAAACTCCTATAGAGATTAACGCAAGGGATACGTAGCTAGTAAGACATATTCATGTGTCGCTATTCTCTTGTTTTTTTTTTTGAATGTGTATGCTGTTGGTCGCAGATGACCTTTACAGCGTCACCGGGTTTGGCGAGTGCCTCTAGAGGTATTCCAGGCGGATGGCATCTCCCCACTCTCCATCTGGAGCCTCTAGACCACTCGAACCTGAGGGGGACGGTTCAACTAGAGGGCGTCTCTGAGCTTTGGACCTCGGCTCTAGTTAGCCGTTGTTGTGGGGGGGGCGGTGAAAAACGCCCAGGTACGTACCTGTACCTGGTATAGCGTGTCGTGTGTAGACCGGGTCTTCGCACTCTTCTAATCTGGGTCTAATCTCTTTGCAACTGGAATCACATTTAATAACAACGAAGATGGTAGATGTACGCCGTTTTTAATTTAGAGTTACCTGAAAAACTTATAAATCGTATGAATAAAAATTGTGAGAACAGCTGTTATAAACAGTTAACGTACTACACCCCTGTATAAAAATACAAAAAATCCTATAAACGGCGCAAATTTTTAATTCACATACCTATATGGAATTATCACCTATTTGTAAAAGTAGTTTTGTTTAATTCAATTTAATCGCACAATTTTTGAGTTAACATGGGAACAATTTACAAAAAAGTAATTAAAGTATTTTTTTTTTGCTGAAATATAACCTAAATCGTTGTCTGTGTTTGTTAGCAAATTCTCTTAGGTAGCATAAAATAATTATGTAAATCTATTTATATAAATTTTTCATTTTTTCCGTTTCCATCCTTCTTCGCTTGGCATAAAGCGAAAAGAAAAACACATAGGTATTCCAATTCACAACTGCTATCATTTCCGAACAGTAACTAGTACAAGTAAACATTCATCATCAAATGGGGTAATTAGCAATATGTCGCTACACAGTAGCGACATCAAATCTGAGCCTTAACTAATCTCAAATATTATTGTAATTTCCTTTTACGAAAGTTCATAATACTTTTTGTACTCTACCAACTTGACGAGGTATATTATCGTATGTACTGGATGAGATTTAGCACCTGTCGTTTAATTATTATTATCCTTACATCTTAATCCTGAGTAGATCAAAGTGACTTCTGGCGCTAAGTACTGTTATTGTTATAATATCGACGGGTGCAAAGTAAATAAAGTCAACTACAAATTCACGTTTTTCTTTTTATTTCATTTTTGTACTAATCGAACAAGACGCCACAACCTGACATATTTTGTTTTGCAGATTTCACTTTATTTCATTTTTTTTTAAAACGTATAAAAAGCTATCTACGCATGTTTTTGCAAATAGTACGAAGTCAATGCAACCAAGTAACGTTGGTCGTTTCAACGCGGGGCGCGAGGCGGGCATCGAGCGCTCGCAAAATGACTTCAGGCAGTTGGCTCACCTGTCACCGG